AGGGCAGCTGATAGGACTAATCATTGCTCATCACAGTGAAGGCATGACCAGAGGAAGCTCAGAAGGACACCAAAACACGTGGTATCTTCCATTTTAAGGAGAAAAAAAAAAAAAAAAAAAAAGGGGGTGGGGGTGGGGGTGGGGGAGGTGTTTATGGGCAGGGTAATTTTCAGGTACTGTTGAGGTTTCTGCCACTGGCTTTAAACCACTGGGCCTATCAGTACTGCTGACATAGAGCAGGATTAACAGGATGGTGAAGTCAGCCCTGATAACCCCACGGAGCATTCCCCATTCCTTTCCAATGGACATTCAGCTGGTAGGCGTGGAGAGGAGAAGCCGCATCGCTTGCCCAACAGATGAAGTTCTGCCAGACTCGGGGGCTGCATGCCACCGCGGATGCCAGAGGAGGTGTGTCAGTCCTCCCAGGTGTCACAAGGCAGCAACTAAAGAGCTAGACCCATTCCAGGGAGCAAGAATTGTCCAGAGTGATTCACAGCGTGGAGTCCTCCTGCAGGGGTGACTCTTTGGCAGGATCTGGAAATCAGCCTGGGCAGCCAAGGCTGAGCATCCTGCAGCAACAGAAGCACCCTGGCAAAGGTCTGCATGGACAAAGAAGCAGCTTGCTCTAAGCAGATTTGACTCTTTTTTTGAGGAAGAAGGGGAAAATAATTGTATTACTCTTCAACGTGATTTACAAGGTGCATTATTGAATTATGATTATTATTTTAAGAAATAAACGGTTCTGATTTAATTTATCTGCTCACTGCCAAAGAATGATGTCGTGAACATTTCTCTGATGCAGAGCTGGAGCAGAGTCACCTAGGGTAGGGTTTTGAATATGTTCTTTGCTGACAGCAGGAAGAGGGGCTGCAAGGCCATGGGAAGTGGTCTACGGTGGTCCACCAGCAGAAGTGGTTTGAAGGAAAAGTGTGATAGCCAAGGGAGCACAATGGGCCACATGGCATTCGGGGGGTTGCCCGTGGCCCACTGAGCCAGATATTTGGGAAATTACCAACCTGGCCTCAAGTATTTCTGATGCACGTGTGTGAGGTGTGGGGGTGCCAGCACATGGCTGGCATTTCCTTGGTGGCACACGGGAGACTGAGGTTGACATTGGCACCTTGGGTGGCCAACACGTGCAGGCACCGTGGCTGCAGCATGGAAGGCAAAGCTGGGCTGGATCTGGGCAGAGAGCTGCAAAAAAGTTGTCTTGGTGTCCACCACTACAGAGCAGAAATGAAGAGACAGCTGTAGAGCTGAGTTAAAGGCTCCAAGGACCATCTCCAGCATGGATCCAAGAGGTGGGTGTAAGAGGACCTCTTGTCAATAGTCCTTGTGCCTTCTCCTCTCTTGTTTCCAGACACTGCATGGGTGGTGGTAGCTGTCCCACGTTAAAACCCTGCCAGGAAACGTGCTAAAAACTCTATGATTAATTAATTAAACGGTATGGATGACAGCATCCCAGACCAGGGAACGTTTCCAAGCACTGTTTGTTTCCCTTCCTTAGATTCAGCTTTGAAGATCGGATGTTCTCAGGCACGTGGCAGGCCTCTGATTTTGTTCTTGACCATACAACATTACGCCACCCCAGCTTTATTTTGCTGCCCTCTCCAGTGTTCTGGCCTTTGAGTCTTCCTAGGTGGAGAAGAGAGATGGGAAGTCAACGACTAGAAGTCAGGCAGGGAGCTGCTCATCCCCCACCTCCCAGGAGCCCCATACTGGGGTCTTCTCACACCAGACCTGCAGACAAGTGTCCACATGTTGAACAGAGGTGAGGTAGAGCAGAAATATCATGGTTCAGTCTCATGAAAGCTCTTCATAAAACCATGGAATACCCCAAGTTGTAAAGGACCCACAAGGATCGATTCCAACTCTTGGCTCCACACAAGACTTCCTTGAATTTGTCCTGAAGTCTTTAACCTTCTTGTCCTGAAGTCTGGTCACAGCACTAGCTCTTCCAGGCCCTCATCACCACTTCACTGGCACCTCAGGAGGTTCCCAAACATCTCCACCTATCCCAGCATCATCCCAGACCATGCTTATTGCCACCTCCCACCCATTTGCCAACACCCCCAGGAGCCAAGCGCTGTGGGATGAAGGAGGTTCTCAGCACCAGGTATGGCTGTGCCACCACAGATTTTTCAGATGTAGATAAAAACCTATCAAAGAGACACTGTTAAGGTGGTGCCATTTGTTGCTTTTGGTAGGGAGGACAACATCTTGAAGCACATTTTGCCCAGGGAGGAGAATCACAGAACGTTAGGGATTGGAAGGGACCTTGAAAGATCATCTAAAGATCAAAAGATCTGATTTTAGAAGATTTTAGAAGGGAAGCAGCAGCTGTGTGTGTTTAGCATCTCTTGGGAGAGGGCAAGCTCCAGATCTTCCCACCCCTGAGTCCGAGGACAGAAGCTGATTAGTAATTTTTCCTCCTGGCTCCTTCCTTCCACCTTCCTCCTCCTCCCTGTTGATTTACTCACACTTCGTCCTGCACAGCTCTTTCCTCAACTCTTCCTGGTTGTAACCACCCCAAAAACACCAAGGCGGGCTGTTACCAACCCCCTGACACACAACTGTCCCTACCCCAGACTTCCCAGATGATTCAGTGCTTAACTCCCAAGGGAGACAAGGCATTCTTGGAGCTAAACCCACCCATGGGTTTTCTGCAGACCAACTTGGGCTTAAAACCCTTCGTGTCCCAAATCCCTGTAGGACTTTGCCCCTACCTCCCACATGCTGTGCATGGAGCTGGATGCTCACCTGGGGGGTCACACCATGGCCCAAAGACACTCAGGTTCTGCCACATATAATGGACAGCCTGGGGCCAGGTTACACTGAGGTGATGAAATCCTTCTGAGAACCTGCCCTTGGGCTCCCCTTCTTTGAATCAGGGCAGGAGAACAGTGCCTTGGGGTTATCCCAAGTCTCCATTTCCCATATTACCTATTTTTTTGGAGTTTGTTACACTCCTGTACTGCCCAAATCCCAACTGGGTCTAGGGCTAAGTTAAATACAGAATGATACCTGCACCTGGAGGCTGTAAGAAGGGAATCCAGCTGTGGCCTCCAGGTGTCACAAGCTCCAGAGGAGGTCCCCACCCTTCCAGCTGCCCTGAGGCTGGAACCACACTGCTGAAGAGCTGACATGGAAACATTCAGCAGCAAAACATGCAGAATTTCAAAGGCTGTCCTACATTTGTCCATGCTATTTGATTGTTAGCATGGTTTTATGCACAGGTTTTGGCCCAAGACCATCTCTGGCATTTCCTAGGCAGGGTGCAGGTTTTATCACAAGTCAAATAAAATTTCCAATGGGTGCTTTGGACTCAGCCACCTTGTTTTGGGGGGAGAGAGCCTGGCTGTACAGATGGATACCAGCTAATCCCAGGGCCAGGAACAGACACAGGACATTATATTTGCTAATATGCCTTCCCCATGGTATCAGGACCCCTCGTCAGGACCAGAGTGCAGACAACGTGCTAGTAAAATACCCCCGTAAATTCATTATTTTCACAGAAATTTTCATTTCTGTGAGCCCTCAGAAATTTCTGCCTGGCTGAAGCAGTAGGAGCCAGGCTCTGATTTGGGGCTGTGCCGATCAGGATCGTACCCTCCTCCTACTCACCTCCATTTGTTTAGCTCTCCGTGTAATTGCACGAACAAGCAGCCCTTGCTGCCTGCAAAACCCCAGCCCTGCTGTGAGTCAGCAATCAACAGAAATTTCCAAGATGGGCGTTATTTATTCTCTTTTATTTTATGGTGGCTGCAGAGCCCTGATGCATGAGAAGCTATAAAAGATTAATGAAGGGATCTCTTTGCCATCAAGCTCACGTTAGGCTCAGGCTGGTCTGCCTGTGTCTGAACATCGGATATTCAGAAGATGTGCTGGGAGTAGATGAATGAAACAACTGGAGGCACTGGGGGATCAGGATGGGCTAAGAGGCTTGCATGGGTTATTCAGCAGGAACCCAATTCCCCAGGGCATCACGGTCCATCCTGGCACCGAACCAGAACTGTGGTTGCCAACACCAGGAAGGGATGAAGGGATGTCTCCCCCTGGATGCCTCATTGCAATTGCAGCAGTGATGACGGCAGCATTCACGAGAAGTGGGTCAGATTCTGCAATGTGTTTTGCAGCTTTTTTGTGAATTCACCTCTGGTGAATGTCTGGAGCAAAAGACAAATATAAGCAGCCCATGAACCTTTTTCACCAGGGTAAATCTCGACTTGAATGTGTAAGCAGCATGTGAGATCACCCAAGTCTGTAGGGGTCATGGCTCATTTGACTACCCTTTGTCTCACTGCTCAAGCAATTAGGCTTCACCTGTAACCCAACATTATTCAGGTCTCCCAAAACCCCAACAATGGGAGTGTTCCAGACCCCAGTGCTCTGGAGAATAAAGTGGGGAATCACAGAATCCTAGGATCATTAAGGTTGGAAATGACCCTCCAAGATCATCTGGTCCAGCCATCCCCCTACCACCAATGTCATCCACTGAACCATGTCCCTCAGCACCACGTCCAACCTTTCCTTGAACACCCCCAGGGATGGTGATGCCACCACTTCCCTGTAGGACACAGCTTTATTTGGGCAGCAGGGCTGGGATGTCACAGCCCAGGTGGGCCACGGCTGTGGGACTCACCAACCTTGATCTATCACAACATGGCGTTACACAAAATGTCTCATTTCTGGCACATTTGGAAGCCTCCAGGCACTGATCATTGCTGGTCTGGTTGGGGTAGAGTCAAGGTTGAAGACTTGGGTTAGTGCTGGGCCACTGGGAAAGCTTGTTTCCCCTGAGACCTTGCAGATTTCCTTTTGGTGACTTGGCCCAAGCACTGCTCTACCAGCTCCATTACCACATCTCTGAGCTTGGTGTGGTACCAGCAACATGAGGGGAGCACAAGGGAAGTGGAGAAAGACTAGGGGGAAGATGCTGTGCTAGTGCTACGACCTCAAATTCTTGTCTTATTGGTAAAGAAGCTGCATATAAATATATATTAATAATAATAAATATATTTATTATATAAATAAATATCATATATATGTATTTAGATACTTTTTCTTTTCCATTTTATTGGTTTCCCTAAAACAAACCTGGTCCAACTCCAGGTCTTGCATTTCTTCAGCTGCCAACAGCTCAGAGGTCTCCAGTGCCAGCCTCGGCCCCATCTCTTCTCATCCGCTTGGATCAGTGCTGTAAAAACCTCACTGTATACAAAACAGTAGGTTGTTATTGCTATCTATACAAACCTACGGTTGCACCATAAAAAAAAATACATAAAAGAGGAACAAATTAGCCATAGCCACCTAGTCAATTAGAAAAATTGCTCTTACAGCTCAGCCAAGTAAAACAAAGCTTCAGGCAGGTCAGGACAGAGTCAGAGCAAACCCAGTGAGCCTCAGCCCTGAGGCTGTCTCAGTACAAAGCTCATGGCCTGCTACTAGCAGTGGCAATTCCAAATTAAGGTGCTAGGGGATTACAAACCATCTTGCCTTGGCCTCTCATAGGGGAAAAATTAGACTGAGCGCTTTGGTTTTATTTATAGAATTATGTATCCTATATATTTTTTCCCTTTTCCAGCATATAGGAAGGCATTATGAGGGCAACCCAGTGCAGCCCCATGGAGAAGTTCTTTCAAAGGTCACAATATGGAAAAGAAAAGAAAAAAAAAAAAGGAGGATTTATTTATGCATCAGAGGAGTTAGGGTTGTGCAGCCACAGTTCAGGCATGCTGCTTGCCCAAGAAGCCACACTGCACGGGCCTAGGGAAAGTGGAACTAAATCAAACAAACCAGCAGGAACAATTAAGGAGGACACCACAAAAGGAGATGTAAATGAACCATGAACTCCACGCCAGACTGCAAGGATGCTCAGAGCTTTGCCAGCGGTGCCACGACCCTGTTGGGTGTTCGCATGGCACACTTTGCTACGCCAGGATGGAGTCGAGGTGGTGCTGGGTCTAAAAATGTGGGGATGAAGCAGAAAACTTTAGTAAGACATGAAGCTGCAGCTGCCCCATTCAGGATCCCAAGGAAAAGGAGCCAAGCACAATAAAAAAATTGGGATTGTGCTACGTGCCTGCACTAGGAAAAAACAGGAAGAGAGGTCAGACCTCCAGGGTCCTGTTCTTCCCCTCTCAATTTCACCTTCAAGCCTTACCTCTGGAAGGAGAGCCTCCAGAATTTGTCTCTGCAGGCAGACAGAGACATCTCCTGCCTGCCTTGGTGGGGAATCCTACTGGGCTTCCACTTGAGCAAAATCTGCTCCTTTTCTTTGAGCCTACAGAAAGAGGGATGGTGCTAGGTCCGAGGATGCACAGGAGAGGGAATGGTAGAGATTTAACCCCCCCGGCTTCTGCCTCTGAAATGGGATTTGCAGCACCAGGAATGAACCACAGGAAACCTGTTTCTGCCTGGAGGTCTACCAAGAAGGAAACACGAGCCCTAATTAAAACAGGTTGCAATCATTCCCACCCAATTTTCCTTCTCTAGGGCAAACCAAGCCTTCAGGGGTTGAAGAGTCCAACCATCCCTTGAGAAATGGCTGGAGGAGATTACTCAAAAAAGCAAGTTTAACAAACAAAGAGCTCATTCACGTGTAGATGACCTCTGGGAAAGGATCAGAGACTTCCTCGTCTGACCCACCCCGATGGATAAATAACCTGCCCTGTGTGCAAGAGTAGGGGGTGGTCTGCATGCAATCCACCAAGCTAGAAACACAGCATTTTTTGGAAAGGCCATCAGCCATCCACCTTGTCATCCCACCTTTGCAAGCCTGCTCCGACACAAGACAACCTATTGGAAATTTCCCCAAACCGAGGAAGTTACCCTGGTTTTAGAGAGATTTCACATCGTGCTCTTCCCAGGCTCGTGGCAGCAGAAGCAATTTATGAGCCCTCTTGCAGCTGTGAAGGCAGTTATTAAAGGGCTTATTTCTGAGTCAAACTGATCACTTATAATTGCAGCCTAATCCAGGCTTGGATTAAGAATCGTAATTGAGCAATTTATTGGAATTTTTCATGCCCCAGCTTGCAGCGGCTCAGGATTAAGGTCTGGAGAAGCCTTTCTCACAGCTCAGGATGGGCTCAGCTGGGCTGAGCTCTTCCTTAGAAGCCCTTTATTGTTCTTTCAAACAATGCATGTGCTCGGCTGGCCAACAATATCACAATTACAGCTAAAAAGAAGCTGTTGGAAGAACCAGCCTTCGTGCCATTTACTCATTCCCTATGGGACACCAGGTGTCAGGCAGCAAAACCTTCCCCTCCCTGCCCCAAGTTGCACTATGTGCCAGCTGGACTCACAAATCTGATATCCTAGGGTTTTATCCTATTAAAAACCCTTCCTCTAGCCCTCATTAGACTGCCCTTCGTTTTATCACGGGGATCCAATTTCTCGTAGGTTAATCATTTAGTTTCCTTTGCAGCCACTCCCATTGGAGCCCATCCCGTCGGAGCTTATTTTAAGTGGTCTGAACTTGGCTGTCAGTCGATGGATGCAGAGCACAACTGCGTAAGCCCGGGGAGCTCCTTAAACACGTGTTTTATTTCTGCCAAACCACAGCCACGATCTCCTCCTCCTGCTAATCCAGGCTGGGAAAGGAAGCGCCTCCGTTTATTGCGCTCAGAGGGAGAAGCTCTGAATCACAGCAGCGATAGGAAACAACAACGTTTAAGTGAGACTCTCACATTGACAATATTCCCCTTGAAAGTTTCTGTTCCATTTCTCCCAAATTTTGCAGTTTTTTGTAACATCAGCCCTCGAGGGAAGGAGGTGGGGGGGGGAAGAAGGAAAAACCCTCTGGCAACCCTTGGGGTTTCTCATCCCCGCAGGGGCTTCCCACTTCTCCCACGTCTGCCTGGCTCCAGCTGTTTTGCTTTCTCCTTAATTTGATAGCTCACCGGGGAGCAGACGCAGGGCGTAAGGAGCAGCTCAGCAGCAAATTCCTTTCCGAGGAGCTCTTATCACACCCGCTTGCCTCTCTGCACCAATTAAGATGAATCAGCCACAAGCCGCCCACCTACAAGAGAGCAATGGCCCTGTCATTAAGCAGATGAAGGGGACACACGTGATGGGCACCCACCAGGTCCCCTTCTCCACCCCAGGAAGCCGTGGTGGGCAAGGGAGCAGTGCTGCCCACCCTAAAACCAGCCCTGATAGCCCTAAAAAGCAGGAGGCAGCTCCAGGGAAGGGGAGGCCAATGCACGGCCTTCAGCAGTGAGGATGGATAAGGTTGGTTGAACAAAAAGAGGTTGACTCATCCCCAAGAGAAAGCACCACGTGGGAAGGTTTCTGATGAGCAGAGGCTCAGATCGAGGGCTTCAGCTCCTGCAAAGGGTGCCAGCGTGTCGGCTTTCTCTTCCCATCTCTCTGGGATGGTGACACAGAAGCCCCTGTTAGAGCCTCCAGGAGATATAGCAAGGCAAATTCCAACCAGGGATACAGGAAAAAATAAATAAATAAAAGGACAGAAAAATAAATGTTTGGAAAAATAAATGTTTGCCTGATTAAATACCAAAAGAGATGCTCAGGGAAATAGTGGAGGAAAATCTCCCTCCCTGGAGACATAAAGCTTGCCCCAAAGCAACCCAACCAAAGCTTGCCATGCTTTGAGGTTGGGCCATTGGACCAGAGCCCTCAGAGACACCCCCAGTCTCAGCACTTCCACAGAGAGCCTAGGAAGGACAGGAGATGCTAACGCAAGTCAAGAGGAACTTCTCACCGCCTCCTGCCACCCACAGGCTTGTTTTGGGGAGCAGCTGTGGCACCAGTGCTGTCCTTCAGCCATCACACAGCGTGGGACAGCCCAAGCCTGCAGGCAGGGAGACTCCAGCCACCAAGAGGATTTTTTGAACACTGTTATGAAACGAGAGCAGCCCTGAGCCCATCCCAGGATCAGCACGAGCAACCAGCTTTGTTCCTGATAAATTTGCCGTGAGGTCTCCTCCCAGCCAAGATGAACAGCAGGCTTCTGCGAAAAGCCCATTAGCAGCCCAAAAAGTTACAGGGGAAGGCACCACTTCTGGTTTTGCCTGAAACCAGATCTTCTATTTCTGCATTTTTTCCCCACTTTTTTTTTTTTAAGTGATTGTAATGAAAAATGCTCAAGTTCAGAGCATTTATTTATTTATTTATTTATTTTTTACTTTGAGCTACCAGATATCTTAGTCACCAAAGCCTACAGTAAAGTCACCTCGTTGGAGAAATTAAGAAATTAAGCTGAAAGCAACCCAAAAAGTGCCAAGAGAGGCAGGGTTCAGCTGAGCATGCAAGCATTGCTCTGAATCCCCGAATAACCCCAACCTGGTGCCTGGAAGAGAAGGGTCCAGCTCTTATAGGCACAAGTGATGGGGTCAAGTTCCTGCTCCTCTGGGTCCTGAGCAGGGGAAAATCCCTGACAGATGGGGAACTAGGCCAGATTGCTGCATTATGTGATATCATCAGTAAAAATCCAGCTTCTCCAACCTGTGTCTTGCTTGGGTATGGCCAGAAGCCAGGAGGACACTCCCCAGTCATACCAGCTTCTCCCCTCTAAGCTGGCTCAGATGTATTACTCAAGCCAATAAGGAGTAAAAACAAAACCCATCCAACCTCAGTTTGCTCCATTGTCTTTCTGATTTTCGTTTCGCTGAGCTTTTTGACAGAACTGGTTACACCATAGATGTAGAGTGAATGACATAGGTTAACATCCTCTAGGGAAAAACATAGCTACTTTATTTAGCTCCTATAGAGTAGTCAGTAATTATTTAGCTGATACTGACAGCTCTTCACAGCCCTGATTTCCAGAGCATGGCCAAGGAGCCTTCAGTGTGACACTGAGCCACAGTTGGTTGCTCCTCAGCTGCTGCAGTGCAGGAGGCAAGCACAGGGCTTGCAGCTGGATTTCCATGATGTCTTGATGGGTTTTGCCCCAAGCACAAACTTCTGGAGAGAAGCAAGATGAATGGAGGTGTTTTCCACTGCTTCCTCAGCAGCTATTCAGATTGCTGCAGTGGCTCTCACAACTCTTTTCCCTCACGTGGATCCTGAGCAACTTTTTCCTCTAAAAGATACTTAAAAAAAAAAAAGGGAAAAATCTACTGGTCCCATGGAAACACCCGCAGTGCTCATCCACTTATGTCTTGCTCCTTTTTCTGCAACTGGAAGTGAGCATTTTTCCCCTCTACAGGCTTGCTAGATGGGACCTTCCCACCACAGTTAGTGGTGATTAATCACTTCGACGATTTTTAAAGGCCAGAAAGCATTTGTAACAGAGTGGGCAGGAAAAAACCTCCATGCAGTGGACCCAGACTAGGTCCCCTTGCATTCACAAGTACAAATCCAACAGAGGGGTCAAGGCACATTTGGCAGCTCCTGTCCAGTTGGCAACTGGGTTAGCTTGGTCAGAAAAAGTAAATCCCCTCTCACTTCTGCCATCAGTTTGTTTCAGATCCCTGTTTTAAGATTCACTTATCTCTCCAAACCCTAGATAAGCACTTACGGCTTGGAGAGAGAGTCCTGGTGATCAGAGTTTCGTAAGCTGCCACATCTCAGCCACGTGGTAGAGCATTGCACGTGCCCTCCTACTGCAGATATGAGATAAAAATATTGTTTGCCCTCCTGTGTTTCTCCTTGTACTTGTCCCATCTCAGCTAACATGCAGCAGCAAGTGTAGGGGCTCTGTTTCACATATAGGCCCTTAGGAACCAACACAAATTGTTTTGGAGATGTGCAGGTAGGCTTGTTGCTTGAAGGCAAAGCACTTCATATCAAGCCTAATCCCTGTGGACAATTGAGCGTTCACACACCCATTCCAAAGACCAAATTCCAGCTTGGACTCTGGCATCAGCTCTCAGTGCAACTACGTCTTGGATAAGCTTGGAAAGCCTCTGGCCTCCAGTCTCCCCTATTCAGACAGACCACTTCCAGTTTTAATGACCTGAAAATAGTAATTTCAGGTCATTAAGGGAAGGAAGCAGCATCCCTCCCTCTCAAGGATGGAACTCCTCCTATAGCAACACAAAACATCTCCCTTTTGATTATGTCAGTGTAATTGCACAATTCTCTCACATCCTGAGGGCAAAATGCCCCTAAACACCCTCAGATTTTTCCTTTTCCTCCCACTGTATCCCCTGACCCAAGCCCAGGTCTTATACTGCAGCTGCCTGTTTCAGTGCTGTCATTGCCTCGTATTTCCCCATCAGGCTAATTCAGAGTAGCTAAAAGCGCAGCACATCTCCATTACAGCAAGGAGATGGGATTAGACTCTGTAATCTCATTTATTGGCACTGTTAAGGCTCTCAAATCTTCTTCTCATACTCTCAAGGAGGAGGAAAGAAGAGATCCAGTGCACTTGGCAGCTCTGGAGAGGAATTAAAAGTTCACAGCAAAGTTACTGCACTCAGAATGAGTGTCACAAGTCAGTTGTTTTAAACATCTGGTTTCTAGTTTTTATACAAAAAAAACAATATGAAATACATAGATCAAACTTCCTTTAGGCAAGCACCCCACATCTGCAACAACTGCTGCAGTATGTAAAAAAAATGATACCAAACAGCACCAAATGAGCATGAGGTAACAGGAAAGGCGCTTTTTCAGAATTCAAAGTCCTCATCGGCCATGTCGATCGCCCAGGCAAACTTCTCCCTCTGTGTCTTGTTGTAGATCTTCTCAATGGGCACACCAAACTTCTTACACCTACGGAGAGCACAAGGCACTGAGGGGACATCCCAGGGGCTGCCCAACCCATCCCACCTGGCTCCCACCATGGTAGTCCTCCCTCATCATCTGTGATAATTCCTTAGCTCCCCTAATTACCCTTACACAGTTGATAAAGATGTACAAAGTGACTCTTTCTTGCCTAAACCCTGCAAACAGTTATTTGCAGAAAGGGAGGCCACAGCTTCGGACTTTGCTCCTAGCATCTCCAGAGTTTGGAGAGGTCTCTCTGGCCAGCTAGAGACAAGGTTTATTCCTTTACCAAAAAGGCTCAGACATGTTGTTCCCCAACAAGCAGATTTTTCTGCACATCTCTCTATAGAAGCACACCCAAGACTTACCAGGCTATGCTAATCCTGGGGTCCAGGTAATTCAGCTTGGACGTGCCCAGAGCTATCTGCTTGTTCTCCTCCTTGTCTGTGGCCTGGACGTTCAGCTTGGCCAGCTGCTCTTTTAGACGCTCCAACAGCTTCTTTTTCTTCCGTATATTGCTGAGGGCAGAGGAAGAACAACACAGTAAGTTAAAGGGAAAAAAAAAAGAAGCAGCAGAGGCAAAACACAGCAGATTCCCCTGGCTTGATGCTGCCTGGGAGCATGATAAGAAGCTAACGAGCTTCAGCTCGGAGCAGTCTCTAAATTCACTCTAAGTCCTGAGCCTGGAAATAGCTCCAGAATGGCAAAGCAGAAGATGCTACGTAGTACTAACCTATCAGATGACAGTACTTGAGGAAAAAAATAAAAATCACATCTTAACTATTAGCACTAAAGTTGTACAAGTACAAAAGCCTGCAGCCAGAGACCACCTCCTCAGATCCAGACTTTAAGATGGTCACTGCTCACAGGCAGCCTGCTCTGCACATTAGCAGCACAAGCCAAAAGCAGGACAAGAAACCCCACAGTACAAAAAAAAAAGAAAAAGCTTTATTTCCTTTTCTCCAGCTGCCCTCTGTCACTGGGCAGAAAGTCACATTAGGGCTCTGGGAAGGGGAGAGATACATGACAAATCCTCCAGCCAGAAGTCTCACAAGAAAACTTGCATTAGGGCCAGCTTCAACCCCAAGTCAGGCATCCTTTACGGCCATGACATTTGTAGGACAACCCAGCAGCTTGGGCTAAAGTTCAAGTATTTGGAGATACGAGCACAGAAACACCCCCTCAAGGAACTCTTTGTCCTGCTATTGCAGACAACCACAAGACCTCCACCCATCCACTACACTCCCATAGGGACAGGAGGCACCCAGTACCCAATTCAGTTCCTCCATGAGCTACACGTAGGGTGTTGGACCACACCGTTCCCACCCACAGGTCCCAGCCAGACCCCTCTGCAAACAGGAATTATAACGAAGAGTCACTCACGCCTCTGCTTTGGCATCTTTTGTCTCTTCAAACTCATCTTCAGCTTTTTTCAGCTCTTTTTCGGCTTCCTCCAGCTGTTGCTTCTTGGCATCAATCTGTGAAGGCAAACACAGAGGTGAGCCCATGCTCCTGTCCTCCCCAGGGATTTCAGCTGCCTCTCCCTTACCATACCAAATTACTCCTCAACTTCTCATCAGCCTTGATCTAAATCCTCTAAACCCAATAACTGCCTGAGACACATGTAGATGTAGAGCTCACAGACATAGTTTAACAGTGAACTTGGCAATACTAGGTTAAAGGTTGGACTTTCTGATCTTAGAGGTTTTTTCCAATGCAAATGTTTGGAAAAACTCACAGCTTTTTCATGTTGTGCACATGCCTGAGATTGACTGGCTCATAACAATATTAGACCCTACTGCAAAGTCCCAAGCCCAGTGGTAGAGCATGAACAAAAGATCTGAGGACAATTAAAAGTCAGTTTGTGGAATTGCCATAGGAGACCCATTAAATTTCAGCTGGTTCTCCTACAAACAACTGAATAGGAGAACTCATTTCCATAGTCCTGAGCTGTGGCATCACTAACAGCACCCAGCTTGGTTTGAAGACATTAAGCAGTGAAAATAATTCAATGCCACATGGGCTTCAGCCAGCATTTGACCTTACTCCACCCCTCGGTTGTGGATGCATCCACACCACTTCTGGTACATTTCCTAGATGCCACACTTGATCATGGCAGCCTCTTTAGGCATCAGGTTATTCATCCCCCTCCCTTTTCACATCCAAGAAAGAGATTGGTGAGGTGGGAGCAGGGTGAGAGCTCTCAGTTTGGTCTTCCTCACCTTACTCTGGAGGTTTTGCATTGACTTCTCAAAGGTTTTTGGTGTGGACCTCTGATGGTTGCACAGGATGGCCACAGCTCGGTTAGCTCGGTTGTAGGAGAGCAGCTTTCCTGCAACACTGTCTTCAGCTGGAAATAAAGTGTAGGATTGTTATTTATCCCCTCTCTGGGAGTTGGAGAAGACAGAGAGCAGACCAGAACAACAGCAATATGTTTGCCTTTCCCATCCTTTCTCAGGAGAGAGCAGTGCTGGCTGTAGAAATTGGTAAAGGGCACCTGGGAAGCACCAAATTTGAAAGTGCATCTCATCACTAGAAGGCAGGACAGAAATAATACAACAAACAATACAAAGAAGGGGAAAAATCTAATCCTGTCTTGGCTGTCAGACTACCATTGAGCAGGTAATTTGATTTCATCACTCGGCATGGCTCCTAACCTGTTGCATGCACCCATAAGCTACGCACCACCCTACAGCATGGTGCATGACCAGCCAAGGAGGAGCAGGCAGTTATGGGGACAGTGAGTGGACATCTGAGCCCACTTCCCCCACATGGCAGCTGGGGACAACATAAACTCTTAAAACTCACGGTTAGTGAGGGCCTTGAGCTGCTCCTGCAACGTGATGGAAGCGTTGTAGGTCCTGAACACTTTGGCAGTCAAGCCATTCATCAGATTCTGGAGGTGTTTGTTCAAGATGACTGTCTGGAGGAAGGAGGAGAGGACAAAGTAAAGAAAAAAGGAAGAAAGAGAAGCATCAGAAGCCAGGACAATAAATCACTTCTCAGACCATCATATTTTGCCTAAACAAACCCAGTAGGCATTTAAAAAAAGTCTCAGAAAAACACACATCTTCTGTAACTTGCAGATCTACTTATTGGGTCAGGCCTTTAACTATTGAAGATTAGGACAAACACTAAAATTCACAAAGAACTTCCCTCAAATTGAATAATTTCTGCCTATTTATGTCCAAGGGGACATATCTCACATCCAATATCACATCTCACACATATCACATCTGATATCTTTATTCTACAGAGCAAACAGGGCTGCAGTCAGAGCAGAAACAGAAGATGCTAAAATGACTCATTTGGGGTTTGGAGAAAGCCTTCCTTAGAAGCAAGATGGACAAGTGGGTTTGTGGGCATGTGGCAGAAGGGGGGCACAGGGAGCAACAGCCCATATTTGATGCTGAAGAGGAGGTAGAAATTTTTCTAAGAGGGTTCCTGGGAGGAAAAGGCTGTAGCACATCTCTTCAGCACCCCTATGCTCCAGCAGTCTCTCTCCCTTTTTTTGTTGAGCCCCAGCAAGGCATGGAAATGTCAAACAGCTGAGATTTGACACCTCCAGCAATGTCCTGGGCAACACGCACGTGGGCAGGTCTTCCCAGGCTAAAAAAAGCCCATGCAGATAAGTTCCAGGAGGGAAGCAGCAGAAAAACACCTCCTTAGCAGGGATATGGGTTAGTCGTGGGCGCAGGCAGACAGACAAGCCTGCGTTTGGGAAAGGAGAGATGTTGCCAATGCTAAAAGAAGTTGGGATGTTGTGACTTTTTTCCTATCAAGAGGGTTCAAGAGCAGAGAGGTGACAACTTACAGTGAGCCTATCAAAGAGGTCATCTCCTGGGTCCTTGTTCTTCATGAAGAGTTGCAGGTTTTTGAACACCTAGAGAGAAGGAAGGAATGGTCCTGGTCAGGGACAAAGAGCACAATGCTCCCAGACACCTCCCTCATCTCTATCTGCCTCCTCATCCCTTCATCCAGATACACTGATTTGTATTCACAAAGCATCCATCCTACCACAGCACCAGCCTGCTCAACTTCAAGGACTTCCAGTAAGACCTCAAACACTGGTGCCACAGACTGTTCTCCCCATCCCTGCTATCCCTGGCACTCCACTTTCCCCACAAACAGCATTAACTTTATCTCACAGGCAAAACAAAAAGGAATGGGGACACTTTTAAGCCTTAATTCCCACTCCATCACCTGAGGATGCTCCCTCCAGCAGGAGGCAGGATTTCTCTCACAGCTCATGGGCTAAAACATCCTTGAAATCCCTACCCCAAAGCTTCTACCCTCTTCTCCAGGCTAGGGTCAACATGTGTGTCCTTATCCCACAACACTCTTGCATGTGCTGTCACAGTGGGGTTGAAACACACGTTTCAGATGTGGATTTGGGACCACCACCAAGTGAACCAAAGCCCCCTTGCACCACACTGGCCACGACACCCATCTCGGCCACGCTCACCGGCTTCTCCACCGACACTTTGTTGTAGTAGCGGATGGAGTCTTTCCCCAGGAAGTCAAACTCCACCACGTGCTCCTGCCCGTCCAGCTTGGGGTGCAGCTTGATGTGCTCCACACGCAGGGAGCAGCAGCCAACTGTGTCCGCAGTCTCCCCTTCCTCTTTCTCATTGCCAGCTCGCAGGGCCAGCTGGAAGGAGCCACAGGAGACCATGAGTCACCTCCAACCCACCACAACTCTCCTTTCTAAAGTAGGCACGGACATCAGGAAGAAAGAAACTAAATAATTAAAAAAACCTCACCCTGGGGGCCATGGTGAGGCCACAGGTACCTTATCAATGAAGTAGAGAGCAACTGCTCTTTGCGTTTCTTCATCTCCTTGGACTTCCAGTCAGCCTGGTACTGAGCACGGATTTTGTGGACAACATCCTTTAGCTTCCTGGCTACCTCAGTACTTCTGCCAGTCCTTTTCCCCCTGGAAAAAAGAGGCCAAGGCATTTCCACTCAGTGCCCTGTCTTATTTCCATCTCCACCAGCCAGCCCCTGTTTTGGAAAACACAACCTCCAGGGTCAAAATATCACTTAAAACCCAGTGCTTTCTGATAAAAATAATCCAGGAAATTAAAAATTAAAGCAGAAACAACTCAACTGGGGGTTTTGTGCCCTCTGCTGGCTGCACTGGGTTCAGGATCCTCACAAAGTCGGAGCTTCTCATAGTCTGCATGAGCCTTCCACCAGCTTGTGGCCAGCACAGGGTAAACTAGGAGCCAACTGGTCCAGCACTGCACAGCCATGGTCCACCGATACTCACACACCACCAGCATGGACTGGCACGATGTGCTTGCTTGGCTTGTGGTTTCCTTATTTTTCATTTAGCTTTGAGGACTGGAAATAGCTTTAAGTCACCTTTCTCTCCCCGCTGTGTTCCCTCCCTCCCTCCCACAGGGCTACAGATGGTGATCCCACCTCCTCCTGTCCTTCGTTTGCTGGCAAAAGTGGACCAGACCTCACTAGGATCTCATACCCTGTGGATCCCCCTCTGCCCCTGCCCAGCTTTCAACAGCCTTCCCAGGATGAAAACGAGCAGCATGGCACTGGGACAATTCTGCCAGCAGCAATCTGTCCCTAAGAACAGGCTCAATGCTTAAAGAATTTACCCTTTTTCCCCCCCAACCACAACTAAGGGCATCCCATTTAATCTAGTTGAATTAATCTAGTTTACCTCCTTTTTCTTGGAAAGGAAAGTATGTTTTTGTTGACGTGCCACATTTTTTCCCCCTAAACCTTTCCACCTGACAAAAGGCCAGCAACCCACAAGCCCTGCACAAAAGGCAGCATCTCACTGACCTTCAGCTTGGAGCTTGGGTTCAGCATGATGTACTTCAGGGAGTTCTGGATGTTTTCGGTCCACGAGGCCAGCCAGGTGACCGTGTTGTCAAAGCGCACCTCCTTCCATTTGTGGCCCGCAGGAGGTTCGGGGATCTTGGAGTCCCTGGGGACAGAGCAAGAACACAGCCCTCATACCAAAGAGGCCACAAAAGGCGAAGAAATGGGTCAGCATCTCAACTATTTCTTCACAGCAAGCAGAGGATGGTCAAGAAGCTGCAGCACTCCTTACTGAACGCACACAGCCTGCCCCAAATTGCTCGATTACATGATCAGTCTGTACCCTTTGGATGTTGAGGACAAGAGGAGAACTTGTTGGGCTGGTGGGGACTGATTTGAAGCAAGGTCATGAGGTCTTCCTGTGGGTGCAGCATTAAGGCCAACCCAAGCAACATCATTTATAGCAAATACACTCTTAAGTGATTGCTACCCTTCCTCCCTCCAGTGAGGATGATGTTGATGCTTCCAGCCAGCAAAAAAAACTGTGAAGTGAGGAAGAATGACACTTTTTTTTTGAAAAGATGCATAGCAGAAACAATACCCAGCTGTCCCAGCTTCAAAGAGACAATAGGACCACTGCTGGGCATGCAGCTGATATCCTGCTAAAGGTGCTAGCACCAACAAGAGACAGGACTGATGACCAGCTTCCCCATCCACAGAGAGACTAGGTCAGACCTGACTGCAAAGCAGAGGTCTGGAGGTCCCAGAGGGTATAGACAGAGCTCCAGATGCAGCAGAGAGCAAAATCCTGTGGCAGCTCCACGTAGAGGAGATGTGCTATTTATCCCCAGCCCCAAAAGCAGCCCCACAAGCCTCAGCTCTTCTCTCAGCAACTCACTTGCTGCAGTTGATTATCACATCCTCTGGCATGATCCTCTTCTTGAGCATGCCCATTTTGGGGTGGTCACCGCGGCCGCGGAACAGCCCCGGAGGCTCAGTTTTAAAGTTGCCTATCTTCTCCCGGTGCCCATCGAGGATGCAGTACCCGTACTCTTCCTGGATCTTGTCTGCTGCCTCCTTCAGTTTCTGAAACGAGCACCACTGCCACCATCATCCCACAAGACATAGCTGAAACCCCATGACTTGTGCTTGCCCACCATCCTCTCCCTGGAGAGATCAAGGCAGGAAAGACAAAGCTCAAAGGACTGGAAAAAAGAGTCAAGCACAACACAGATCACCTCCACCTGCTTTGCAAACCCTCATCAGGATGCTGTCCCAGCATGAGATGCTGATGAAACAAAGCTTGGGTTTTATTAGTACCATACAGCAAGGGTCCACCACCTCCTGGATAAGGCAGGACCCCAAACCATGGCCTGAGGATGACTGGGACTTCTCAAAGCCAGGAGGCATGCACCACCTGCAGAAAAGCTCAATGAAGAAGGGTGTGATGGCCCTGGAGAGATGGAACCAGTATAATACCAAAGAGGTCCCAGGTGAGGACATATCCCACCAAAAAAAGAACCCAGCAGGAGATAGGACACCTCAAGCTGGTCCCAAAGCATATCAGCCAGCCCCAGATATCATGGGAAACAGTCCTCACCTGCTTCTCCTCTTTGGGGAGCGCTTTCCGTGCCTCATTTTTGTCTACGAAGTACTTGTGGATCTCCCTGAAGTCACACTTGTCCAGGTGCTTGATTATCTTCTGCTCCTGAGGGGTCATCTCCTGAGGGAAGGATAACAGGGACTAGGTAAGACAGTTTCGGTAAAGACAGTTGGCAAAAAGAGCTCTGTACAGTGCTGCTGGCTACATCTCACCCCAGAGAAAAGGAAATACAGAGCTGCACACCAGTTCTTCAGAAGAATCATAGGGGAAACAGCCACATCAGCAACATCCACCCAAGGGCAGATAAAGCTGCCCCAATAGGAGGCCAGGCTGCTCTGGACACCTGAGCTGAGAAGCAAAATTCAACCAGGTTTGGGGTGGAGCAGCCTCAAACCTCTGCTGCAGGAACAAATGGTCCCAAAGGGGACTAAGCCATGGTGCTGTAGGTTCTTGATGTTAATCTTTCAGAGGAAGGCACATCCTAAATAGCTTGCAAAGCTGTTTGGTAGACCCCATGCCTACTCTGTTAGATAGCATCACTTAAACTCAAAAGGAGCTCAAGTGCCAACATGAAGCGCTCAAGGATTGCTCTAGATAGCAAGCCCTGGCCCAAACCCATAGGGAACATGGAAATAGAGAGCTAAAACCCCAAAAACATCCCCTTTCTCCCATGCTATGCCTGCAGCTGACAGTTTTAATGTTGGGGTGTTTAATGTAGAGGATGGGCAGCAAGGAAGCCCCCCCTGCAGGGAAGGTACCTTCCTCCAGTCGTTAAAAAAGTTGTTCTGGAAGATCTCCTTGGTGGTGTACTCATGATCGAGCATTTTGGCATAGAAGGTAGCAATCTCCTCCGTGGCCAGGCTCAGCTTCAGGGGTTTGCCTAGGAAGAGAAAAGAGCATTAGCATCAGTTTTGGGGACAGTCCCACACTGCAGCCCCAGGAGATCACCTGGTCAGTCCCCAGTGCTCAGCACGGTGCCAAAAAGGGACACAGGCTGAGAATGGACATTGGCACCCCCATACACCAAGCAGCCTTGCTTGTGGATCAATCCCCTGAGCTCTCAAGCACAGCAGGACACTGCCACGACTAATTTGCAATCACATTTCATCATTTTGTTCTCTGTAAGAGCCCGGTTTACACCGAGGTCACTGAGCCATGAGGCTTTCAGCAGCTGTCGTGCAACATCAAGCCCCAAAATCTTGGCTTAACGAGATAACACAAAAGGTTTGTTTTCCAGCCGTGATCACTTCCAGGACCATGCTGAACAGCCAGGATCCCACTCACAGCTTCATCTCAAATCATCTCCTGTGCAGATGGAGCAATCATGGGAAGCTCAAAGAAAACATGCATGAAACAAATACAGGTGCAAGATTCACTGGATGACCACAAGAGGGTTTTGGATCATTTTTGGAGGTGGCAAAGCCACCACCAGCCTCTCCTGAGCTCCTTGGCTATAGCAACAAAACCCAAAGAAGCCAGGGAACATTCTGGTTCTTCCTGGGAAGCACACTCTTTAAAAATAGCTTTTCTAGGCAAGCCACAGGGAAAAAAAAATGCCCTTCAGAGCTCCAGGGATGGTTCGATCCTGCCTACACCAGGTGCTGATTTTGGTGTTTTGACCTCCACCTGCACTGCAGAGCATGGTGAGTCACAGCCTCACAGCAGCCTACGTGCAGCAGCTCCCTTCCTACTCAGGGCTGCTGCCTGGGCACAAAAACACGGGTTTTCATCCAGGAACGGTGAAACCTTTCAGCAACCGAGCCAACTGCTCTCCAGATGCCAAGCCAAAGCCACCAGCCTGGATGCACACAACACGGATGGGTCTGCAACGGAGCAGAAACCACAGAGGAGGTCCAAACCCTACATGAACTACATGTATATGACAAGATTTCTCCTCACTGAGCCAAAAAAACAGAAGTCTCCAACAGCCCCATTGATATCCCAGCAGTGCCCTCTGCTGACAGTGTTGCCACACAACTCATTTTCCCAAATTGGCCTCTTTTTCCCTCCCCCATACTCAAAAAAAAAAAAAAAGAATAGGAAGCCCCAGGGAAAGCTTGAGGAGAACCAAGAAGGGACTGTGGTCCCTTCCTATCTCCAGCATCCCTTGGATGATTTCCATCATGGTCCTTCTTGCCTCCTTTCCCCAGTCCAGAAGGAAGGGTTCAGGGCTGGAGACAAGAGTGTGGAAGAAAAGAGCCCAACAGCCACAGTGAGAAACCCAAGAAAGCCAGCAGAAGCCTGGATCCATCCCTCCAACCTCTCAGCCCCTCACTGATGCATTGGGTTGCAGTAAGATGAAACGTGGTGGCTCTGGGGACAACACAGGGAGCCGTGACCAGGAGCTCAGAGCAGCCTGGCCAGATCCTGCAGCGTCCTGGAGGATAAGTGACATGTCACTGAGACCATGGGACAGCAAAGCTGCAGCTCTCATCAAAAGCAAAAAACGCTTTTTTTCCCCCCAGTGTGCAGAGAAATAGTGCGTGAGCTGACTTCAAGCTCAAACCCAGAAAGCATGTTAATCGGGAAAAAAATGTTATGCATAGGCTGGGAGGGAAAAAAATATATATATGTTTTCAGAAAATGTACACAAGGTCTTCAAGAGATGGCATCAAGATGCATCGCTTACCCTCAAGAAGCTCAGGGACCATGACTGCACACCCCGCACCAGAAAAAGCTGTGAGCAGAGGAGCAAGCCTCAGACACGACTGAGGATATTGCAATATTTTCAGCATTTAATAATTCATGCCCAGCATTTTGCCCCTCTTTATATAAGAGGAGATAATCACATCCTTGGCTGTGCAGAGGAGAACATCACACGGCTCCTCCCAAGGTGGGCTTACCATCGTAATAAAACTGCACATCATCAGGCAGCGGCTCGTAGAGGGGGGCAAAATAGGGTCCTCGGTGCTCCAGCTGTGTCCACTTCACCCCGTCGGCTGTCTTCTCCTCTTCCCACCTGGGACAGAAGCACACAGACCCATGAGAGCATCTCTACTTCAAGGGTTTGAGACCTTCTCCTGAGCATTGCTGCAAAATTCAAGTGAAATTCCATCACTCCCGATGCTGCCTCAGTTTCCCCACTCTTTCAAACATGGAAAATAATGACCTAAACGAGGGAAAAGCATCCTGAGGAGGGAAGGGATGTGCTCAGTGGGATGTGGAGGGACTCAGGGGGAGAGCAAAGGGATGGAGCCATCAGGCAAACCCATGGGACAACCATCAAAATCCCACCTTTGGACCACAAAGGCTGCTCAGGTTGTATTAAAAAGGCTGCAAGGGTTAAAATGCACCCCAGCCCCCACTGCCTCCTTTAATAGGCAGAAAAAAAAAAAAAAAAAGGGCTCATGGGCATCCACCGCCCTGTCCTGCAATCTTAATGCAAATCAGACCTTAAAACACCTCCCTCCACCCCCCCACAGAGCAAGCAGGGTTTTAAAGGCACCATAAACCTCGGCTGCAAAATAAGGATTTAAAAAATAAAGAAAAAGAAATCAAGACACCCACCATGAAGAGCATTTTTTTTTTAAACAATGAACACTTTGAACATGAAATTAAAAGAGAACTAAGGTTTGTGGCAGAGGAAGAAGTCTGCCCGAGGAGCATTTGGGGACAAGCGGGGGATCCGCACCCCAGGGCTCAGCACCAGCTGGGTGGGCAGCAGCAGGACCCAGCCCATTAACCCCAGCATCTCCAGGAAAATTAGGATTGCAGGAGAAACAACAAGATTTTACCCCCAGGAGAAAAAAAATAACTAAAAGCGTGTTTCTCATTCAGCAGTGCCCCGGAAGTATTTCAGAGCTGTCTCCTCCCCGCAGGAGGGGATTGCATCAAAAGCCGGATAGATTGCATCAAGTAGGGCATTACACTAGGAAAAAATATATTAAAAAAAGGTATTTAGGAAAATATAAATATATATTATTTTATAAAATGCAACAGGCTGCAGAAAACATAGCTGGGAGCACCTCTGAAAAGCAGGCACCTAGAAGGGTGATTTGTGATTTAAGGAGCACTGGTAAGGTCTCCATCTCTCTTCCCCAAATTCATTCCATCTTCCACCCCAGCACCACCTGCACTTACCTGCTGCAGCCCCCTGAGCCTGCACGGAGGCCTGTGGGGATCATCCGGGGGCGAGGGACCCCCCGACCCAGCAGCGAGGTGGTGAGACGCCAGTACATGCCACCCTGTGCCCCCAGAGCTGGTCACCCCCCCCCCAGCATCCCAAACCAGCACCCCGCTACCCGCCAGGGCAGGGTGGCATTGCCCAAAGCATCGCCAGGAAAAGCCACCAGCACCAAAAGGTCCAGGTTGTGGCTCTCCCCACGTGTCAGGGCTGTGTAGCCTTATGGGAAGTGTAGTCCTGTGTGTGTTTCGGGGCAAATCTGCTGCAAATTAAGTTTACCTAGCAGCATTGCTTAAAAAAAAAAAAAAAAAAGCAAAATACAACAACAAAAAGTCATCTATTTTCAAAGCACCCCATGCCCCAAAAAGCTGTCCCAGAGGTCCAGGATGGGATGCTTAGGGCATCATCCACAATCTGGGATAACTGGGATAATGCCCAGCAGCCCTCTTCTGCCCAGGCTCTGGGGTTTGTGAGGGTCTGCAAAGCATCCAGCCCCCCAAAATGCTCCTTCCCTGCTTCAGGTATTGGGGTGCTTGGGGACAGAGTGACACCAAGTGGCTAAAGCCACCAGTCTCCACCTCGAAAAAATTAGAGCAGATGTTGTCCCCTATCAGTCCCATCCATGTGCTCTTTTTCTGATGCTCTCCTAAGCAAAAATCTTGCCTGGAACATCCAAAAAACACTGCAAAGAGAAAAAACTGCAGCCCCATTATGACCTCCTTGACATGGCTCCCACTGATATGGAAGTGGATTTGTGGGTTATCTCCTTCCACCAGCCGTGAGCACATCCCTTGCCTGGCTGGACACCAGCAAAGCCAGTTGAGGAGACATATATAATCTTATAACAGCATAAAAATACCATATAAATACCATTTTGTATTTGGGACCTCCCACCCTCTCACCCTGTTCCCTCCTGCCAAGTTCAGAGCTCAGGAAAATACAGCCAAGCAGTTAATAAAGATATTAATAAAAGCGGAATTTTTACAGTTTTACTCTCAGAAATAAGATGAAAAACCCCAGTTACATTCAAGTTAAACCTGCCCAGAGGACAAACACATGCAAGACATTTACCATTTCCACTTCTTTTCTGCCTCTTCTTTCTTTTCTTTCTCTTTCTCCTCCTTTTTAGCCTTTTTGTTGTTCTTCTCCTCTCCTTCCTCCTTAGATTTTCTTTTCCGGGTTTTCTCTGGGATCTCCTCATTTTCGCTCTTCTCTTTACTTTTCTTCCCCTTCTCCTTTTTCTCTTTTGGCTTTTTCTCTTTGTTTTTCTGCTTTTTCCCTTTCTCTGGCCCATCTCCCTTCCCCATCTCATCTTCTTCCTGTCCCCATCTCTCATCCCCTTGCTCATCCACCTCCTCCTTTACTCCTTGCCCATCTTCACTTTCCTTTCCCACCACATCCCTCCCTTCCATCCCTCCTGGTCCATCTCCCCCTCCTAATTCCTCATTTGCCCTCTCCAGCTCTTGCTCCTCTTCTACCATTTTTTCCTTCTTTATTTTCTTCTTCCCCATTTTCTCCTCCCCCTCTATTTTCACCTTCTTGCGTTTCTCTGCTTTCCCCTTCTCCTGCTTTTCCTTCTCATTGCCCCTTCCCTGGGCACAACTGCTGCTCCCTTGCTTGGCTCTGTCCTGCCCCACTCCCCAGTTTCCATCCCCATCAGCACCATCCTCATCCTCAATGCCTTCCATCACACCCTCGAGATCTTCCTCAAACTCATCCTTCTTGCTCCCTCCCTTTTTCAGCAATCCCTTCTCCCTCTGCTTCCTTTGCTCTTGCTTCTTCTCTTTTTTCCTCTTTGGGTCTCGGGCATCCCCTTTCTGCTGTGGGACAGAGGAGTCCAGCTCCTTCTCCATCCTCACCCTCATAGCAGTGACCCCCAGAGACAACCCCGAACCCCCAGGCTCTCCAGAGAGGCATGCAGCCATGCCAGAAACACCACCACTTGATTTCAGGACCTGTAGGAAGCAATAAGAAGTGAAAAATTGTTGATATTCAGAAAGGAGGGCAATTATCCTTAAGTCCATGCACACAGAAGAGATGCTAAGGGACGCATCCCATTGAAGATTGGGTCTTGGCAGCCACCTGTACCCCCTAGGTTTCCTACCCCAACTCCGTCCTTGGTCTCTGAGAGCTGCTGTCCCACTGCAGGTCCCTTTCTCCAGGATTTGGGCTGTGACCTGTAACAAATGCAGACAATTCTCAGGTTGGAGGCACCTCTGGTCCAGTCCCCTGATGAAACAGGGCCACCCAGAGCTCAGGACCACATAGGAACAAGAGGCTGAAAAGCAGCCCCAATGTAACAAGGGCATAAAAACTATTAAAGTGTCTTAAGAAAGGCTATAAAGTTGGTCAAGGGCCTAGAGGGGAAGACATATGAGGAGTTGCTGAGGTGCCTTGGTTTGTTGAACCCAGAGCAGAGCAGGCCGAGGGGAGGCCTCATGGCGGCCTGCAGCTCCCTCATGAGGGGAGCAGAGGGGCAGGCGCTGAGCTCTGCTCTCTGGGGACAGTGACAGGAGTTGCACTCGATGGTCCATGTGGGGCTGTGTCTTTTGAACAGAGAGGCCCTGGCCTCTCACACCTCCCTGCAGGGCCGCAGGGACATGGGGGAGCTCCCCCACAGCCTCCTCCTCTCCAGGCCGAGCAGCCCCAGCTCTCGGGGTCTCTCCTCATGGCAGGGGGGTTCCAGGCCCTGCTGCCCCTTGAGGCCCCAAGGAAACATCCCCAGGGACATTCCTGCCCAGAGAACAGGACAAGCTTGCAGGGTTTGGTGACTAAGAGCAGGACGTGGAGATGGCATCAGGCTGAGCATCATGGACATGGAAGGAGAGGCAGTCTTTGGATGAGACATGTCTCCCAGGACTGTGTGGATTTGGGGGCAGGCACCCTCAATCCCCTCAGAAGTAGGGGACCTGAGATTCAGCACGTTGGGGAAGGATGAAGCCCTGTTATCACAAAAAGCAATGGGACCAGAAACATTCAGATTTGTAGCCACCACTGGCAGCAACATGGGTGGGGAAAGCACGAATGTTTCCCCAGTCAAAGAGGTTGGGTGAATTCTGGGGAGCCCTGTGGCATGTGCCAATGCCACAAAGCACCAACTTTCCCGTATAAAATCACTTTCACCCAACATTTCTCCAAGCTGGGCAGGGAGTTGGGAACCTCATCTTCCAGTTGCTTGCATTACAGAAAAAGAAAGCAAAAGATGAACTAGACAGTAGCAAGAGCAACCTAAACCATACCCGGTGGTGGATTCACCTCTGCAGGGTCAAGGTGATGGTGTTCCCTTGTCCACAGGGAAACTTGAGGCTGTCTCTGCTGGGTCACAGCCACTTCCCAACCATACAAAGCACCCACCAGTCTGTCAAGCATCACAACCTGAGCTTGTGATCAGCTCAGAGCCAAGCTAGGGCCAGTTTTCAAGAACCACCACTGTTCCAATGCCATCAGGGATGAAACTTGGAAGCAAGGTTTCTCCCTCAAAGGAGGGTGGTGATGGCTCTCCCACATGTCCAGGTGAGCACAAATGACTAGAGAACAGGGGCCCAGTTTCTGCTTTTAGCAAAAAAAAAAAAAAAAAAAAAAAACAAAAAAACACACAGACAAGTTTTCAGAGAGGAAAAGGGAGAATTCATCCTATGCCTTTCAAGAAGGATGATGCTTAATTACTGGGCTGTAGGACTTGAGAGCAATGCAGGCTCTCCATGGCTCTCAAACCCTATTAAACTTTTAAACGATCCCTGTATGTCCCACCAGGCTCCTCCATGGGCAAGCATCAGTCTCAAGCCAAGTTGGAGTATTGCTTTGCGGTGAAATAAATCCCTAGGGATTGCCCATTTTCCCACAGCCCAAGCCCCAAAGCAGCTTTGAGGAAATAACGCCAGGGAGACGGCTGAGACCGGATGCTTTTTTGGAGCAAGCATTGCACAATTTCCACTAAACTCATTAGTGCAAATAGCTTGGCAAAACATCCTCCAATCTCATTAGGAGCCAGTAGATTTGTGACTCAGAAGGCAAAGTCCTGCAGCCTTTTCGGACCGGCTCCCTCCCCAAAAGGTCTTATTAGAGGCTTCTCGCTGGACATGAAAGCCCCTGCCTCCACGAGGTGGAGAGGATTATCCTGCTAAAGGCCAACGTAATGAATTCAGGCTTCTATCTCTGCCCAGATCTAGCACAGGGCGAGGGAGAGAAACACCCTTTTCCCAAGCTTTGCGAGGCTGGTTGTCCCCCCTAGCACTTCCCCACCGCCTACCTCTGCATTTATGTAGGTATGTGCGGCCAAGCCATCGCACCTTGCTGACTCGAGCATCCTTCTGTGCTTGGGGAGGTTGGATCAGGCCAGGAGCCTTCCTCACCCACCCAAAGGCCAGGATAAAGGCTCAAATCCCACTTGTGATGTTTTCTGACAAGCTTCTGGGGTCACCAAAGACACTAAGACATGGCCGAGCCACATAAAGGCATTAAAAGTGGGGTGGTCTCAGTAATAAATGAGGGGCTGCACAACCCCACAGCAAGGAAAAGGATAATTTTCCAGTTCTTTAGTCAGAAAAGGCCATCAAGAAAGTGGCTGGACTTACCTGGAAGAGCCCTCCAGCCCTGCTGATGACCCTTGGTGAAGGCTGGATTCAGTCTTCTCCTGAAAGCAGTTCATGGCATTGATGCAGAAGTTTAAAAAAAAAAAAAAAAAGCAGAGCTGGCATGGACACCCCAACAGCAGCATCACCCCCAAGCAATCACCCAGCCAGGCCATGGTCCCTGCATCCCAACAGCAACATCCTCCCCTTCTTCGGCCACTTCTGCCAGAAACCAGGAGCCCAAAACAGCAGGCCTATACTAGCCTGACTTCCCCAGCCATGCTGGAAGCTTCAAGGTTTTATGGGGTTCAGAAACCCGTATCTTATTTCATCAACACTAAAAAGAGTTTTTGTGGCTTTGCTGTACAAAATACATCACCCCCCTCAACCACCTGCTCATTAGATGTGCTGCTGTTATTGGGGACATTGGGCCAGGATGCCAAAAGGACAGGAGGGCTCCAAAAAGATGCTTCTAATCACAGCTCATGTGCAGCCAGGCCAGTTTATTCCACGGAAGATTAAAAAATGGCCACTGGAGCAGATGGCAAGAGGGAAAGAAGCAGGGGGCAAAGCCATCAGTGGGAAATACAACAAGAAACAGTAGGGAAGGAAGAAGGAAAAAAAGAGCAAGAATTAGAGAAAAATTGGGACAGGATCTGGAAGAAAATGAGCTCAGATGGGACTTGAACAGAGACCCCAAAAGCTTCCAACCAATGTGCAAGGCTACAGCCAAGCATGCAGTGCCCTGAAACCCATCCCAAGCATTGAGGCTCTCGTTAACAAATTCTGACTCCCCGAGTTTCTCTTTCCAAGGCTTTCAAGGGAGGCCAAAACCACACAGGGATTTTTTTTTCTTGAAAGCTGCTCATGAGAAGCAGCTGGTTAACTCATTAAGTGGAATAAAAACCTGAGTTAATTACAGGTTGGCTGTGGCAATGTGCACTTTCGTTCCCTGGGAATACTCCTGCTCTCGGGTTCACAATCCTTCAGCTGCTGTCAGCAGCCAGGATGGGCCATGCAGGAGCCACATTCTTCCTGCACGCAAATGCCACCAAGAATGGTGGCACTACCAGGGCACCAGCCACGATGCCCTCTGGGGGTTTCACAGCTGCAGTTCTCTCCCAATGCAATCAGAGCTGACCGCTGACATTTCCACCAGCATTTACAAGAAGGATGGGGTGGACAGTCACCTCTCCTGGAAGGAAAGACTGAAAGCTGGGGATGTTCAGCCTGGAGAAGAGATGGTTCTAGGGAGACTTCCTTGAGACCCTTCAACACTTAAAGGGGTCTAAAAAAGGATGGAGAAGGACTCTTTACTCTTGTAGATGATGATAGGACAAGGGAGAACAATCTTTAAAAGAGGATAGATTTAGACTAGGCATTAGGTGGAAATTCTTCACTGTGTGTGGATGGAGAAGCTGTGGATGCACCATCCCTGGAGCTGTTCAAGGCCAGGCTGGATGAGGCCTTGGCCAATGTGATCTGGTGGATGACATCCCTGCTCATGGCAGGGGGTTGGAGTTAAATAATTCAAGTCCCTTCCAACCCAATCCAGCTCATGCTCTTAATCCAGCAAAAAATACATTTGATTCAACCCCAATCCCACCCACATCTACTAGCAGGACACCCAAGCTTCAGTCAGTTTGCTCTTAAATTTAATTCCAGATGCCCAAAGGATCCCTTTTATGGGCTCACACCAAGCTGTCGGACACCATCCCCAAGCTCCCTTGAGAACAAACCACACGAGGACTCCTAAATCCCCCAGCACTGAGACCACCACCTACCAACCCAGATGCAGCTGCCTCCTTTGCTCGGATCCCATCCCACTGGCTTGAGCCTTCACCTTCCACAGCCTCATGCTTTAGGGAGCTTCCAGACCAAGAAATTAAAGAAAAAAAAAAAAGGAGAGAAAAGGCAAGATTTTCCCATCAGTAAAAACTCCTTTTAATAACACGAACCCCAAAATGAGGTGGGCAAAGCCCCACAGTTCCCATCTCCTCCCCGCAGCCACCTCCATCCCTTCCACCCCATTGAGGAGTTACCTGCTGATGATGTTCTCCTGCAGTGGTTTCTCCTTGTTTTTTGCAGATTTCTTCTTCCCTTTCAGCACAGGGGGCTGCATGCCAGGAGAAGGGAAGAGAAGAGTTTGTGCAATGGGGTTTGATGCCCACAAAACACCAAAGAAGGCACAAGGATCATCTCCAGAGCCCAAATTGTAAGAGGGCTGATGGTACCTGCACCACACATGGAGTTTCCTCTGGTTCCTTCTTCACAGCCTTTCCCTGGGGTGCCTTCAGCACCTCCTGTCCCGTCTCTGCCTCATTCTTCCGCTTCCTGGGGACAACAGCGAGTTCGTCCCACCAAGGCCAACCAGGCAAAACCTCTTAAACCCCCCTTGGCGGTAAAAGTAAGCTACACTACATAACCTTTATGCCCAGAAGCACCAAAAAAAACAAACAAACAAAAAAAAAACACACCGAAATCTCTCCCAAAAGGAGATTTGTAGGGTTTTCCCCCCCACTGATTATTTTAGGGGTACACTGCCCAATAGAGCCACCTGCAGCACCATAAAGCCAGGGGGTCCCCAACCTTCCTACCCACATGGTGCCCACCGGTTGCTGCTGTCCTTCGCCCCATGGGCCCTGGAGAACCCCATGGCTTTGTCACCCACTGGCTCTTCAGGGGGGGACACAGGGTCACGGCGGTGGTCCTGAGGACGGGCACTGCAATGAGATGGAGAAAGAAACCCCACAGGACAACCCTAAAATTTGGAGCAACACACGGGAGTGAGCTCAGCTTCTGCAAGGACCCAAGAGGAGCATCAAGTGCTAAGCATTGAGCTCAGCTCCTAAAATGCTGTTAAAGAAGTAAAAATAAGGTTGTCCTAAAATAACAGGGATCCCCAAATGTCAGAATTCACAGACCCATATGGGTAGATGGGGGCTGTGTGCTGGGGTGGGTTGTACATTACCCAAGGCCCTTTCTACACCCTGAAAATGAGCATAATGAAAAAAATAATAGATTACAACAAATAAGCAATAGTAAAACTATGAATTTGACTCCCTCCCAAAGCACGCAGCTAGGCCACCATCATCCAGCAGCCTTCTCCCCTCCTTCTCAGGGCTGGGAGAGACAAATCCTTCCCCAAATCACCCCCAAAAAAACTCAAAGTCCAAGAGGAAGGCAAGCAACAAAGCTCAGATTGAAGCACCAAGGCAGACTTCATCCATAAAGGTCCTTCCCCACTGAAGGAAATCCAGGGGAATTTCCAAGGATTGAAGGGCAAGCTGCAAAGCACGATAAGATATCCCACAAACTTTGCAAGGAAGAAGAAATATGTTGAAAATTTGGGTGTTTTACCAGCTGGTGGTGGGACCACACTCACCCAGCATGGGGTGACATGCTCAGAGCCACCCCAAGCTGGAGAAGCATCTCACCCTCACTGCCACCCTAGGGGAAATGTCTTCCACCAGGCAGCCTCCCTAAAACCTCCCCTCAGTGCTCATTGGAGGGCCCCCAGCCCAAGGTGGGCCCTGGGAAATGAAGTTTTTAACCCAAAATATGAGCTTCAGGAGAACCCCATAACTTCAGCAAGGGGATTTGCTAAGGGGGAACAAAACCCCTTTGCATTGCTCAGGTGTGTTGCTTCAAAAAATAACACTACAAACACCTCCCTCCCAGGGGACACCACCCCTACAATCAAGTGATAAAATAAAACCCCAAATCCAGCCTTTCTCACCTTCTTCTTCCCCATCAGATCCCCATGGCTGGTTTCAGCGGGGTCTTTAAGCCCAGGCAGGGGGGCACAGAGGCCAGATCCCAAACAATGCTACCACCCATAGCTCTCACCCTACAACACTGCCCCATCCCACCCGTCTCCAGCCCTATTCATGCAGACGAGCCTATTGCTTCCACCTGCCCTCATCCCCACCAAAATTCTCCCAGCTGAGCCTCATGAGGGTCTCCTAACCCCAAACAGCGGCCCTACAGCAGCACCGGGGCCTGCTACAAAGGGGCCACAGCTGCTGCAGCACCGGGGCCTACTACAATGGGGCCGCAGCAGCTGCAGCGCCCTTCAACTGCATAATGGGAAGAAACACCCCTTTTCCCCAAAAATTTTGGCTTCTGAGGGAATTTCGAGGCATTGCCCTGTGTTTGGGGCGAGTTAGTGGGGCCACGTGTTTCCCTTGGGAAGGTGCCAGAGCGGAAACCCCCCTGAGGCAGGGCTGGCTCGGGGAGAACCTCTTTGATCCCCCATTGCACCACCCGGGAAGAGGCGCCCAAGCCACCTTTCTGGCTGGATGAGGAAAAAAAAATAAAAAAATTTAGGGGTTGGGAGCCGGCCCCGGGGCAGGGAGCAGGAGCTGGGCCTTGTTTGCTCTTCTGCCAAGAGATTATATGTTTTTTTGGGGGGGGGTTTGTGGCAGTCCCATATGGGTTTGTTCAGCCCTGGTGCTGGGGAGGGTTGGTCCTGCTGGGAAAGGACGGGGTTTGCGCTGGGAAATGACTGTTCCTACCCAAATTCACTTGGGTTTGTGCATCCAAACCCAGCCTGGGTTAAAAACCTTAATAATCGAGGTGGGTTTCACAGCTTTTCCCTTTCTGGGTGCTAAAGCTCTTTGCAAGTGGGAGCAGGATGGTTCCAGATGATGCTCTGCAAATGGGAAACCCACACCACAAATGGGGTCCTGCGTGGTCCGGCGATGGTCCAGGACCCTATTGATACCCTATTGATTTACAGTGCACAGGAGCAGTTTCATCAGCCCCATTTTAGGATCAAAGCCCTGTCCCGGTGGAGACCCCAAGCCCCATTTTGGGATGACCCAACCAGCTCAGCATCCCCGTGTGGGCACCGCACACCTTGAGGTCCCATGGAACCAGAGTTTGTCCACCCCTGGGTGCTTTTATTTATTTATTTATTTATTTTATATAACTTATTTATTTTATTTTATTTATTTATTTTGTTCTTTTTCAGGATGGAAATTCCCCCCCCAAAATTCCACCCGGCTCCTGTTTGGGGAGAAATCCTACAAGCCAAACCCCACCGGGGCTCAACGGGATGGCTCAGGGGGTTGAGAGCAGGGCAGAATTTGCCTGAAAAAAAGCCAGAACTTGGCTTTAGGGTTATTTCTCAGGGTATTTTTAGGGGTATTTCTCAAAGATTTTGTACCTATTTTTTCAAAAACACTTTTAAATGTGTGAATATAATTAAAATATTAATAGATAAAAATAATAGATAAAATTAATAGATAAAATTAATAGATAAAATATTAATAGATAAAATAATAATAATAATATAACAGTACAAATAAATATAATATATAATATATATAAAATATAATATAAAAATATAATATATAGTATATAATGTATAATATAAAACAATAACATATAAAATATAATAAAATATATTTTTATTCGTATAATTATATATTTATTTTTTAATTATTTTAGTTTATTTTCTCATTATTTATATATTTTTGTGCCCCCCCCATAATCCAGATGTTTTCGGAGGGGGGGGGCTCCCAGAAGTGGAGGAGGAGGGGGCGTGGCTTCCCCCGCCAGGCCACGCCCCCTCCCGATGACATCACCGCGTTCTAATCCCGACCGTTGCCACGGGCGACAACCCCCCCTCCCCTCTCCGTTCTCCCCCCTCTCCCACCCCGCCGCGCTCCCATTGGTCCAACCCCACGCCCGTCTTCGCGGATCCCCTTTCCCATTGGCTAACAGCCCTCTCCGCCCCGCCCCTCCGCCTTGCTTATGCCCCGCGCCGCTCCCGGGGCCCGGCTCCGCGCTCGCTGCCGGGGCTGAGGGGGGGGGACCCCAAAAGGGACCTCGGAGAGGGGGGGGGCAGGGGCTGAGCCCCCCCAAAATGGTGCCCCCTGAGGACGACGAGAGGAGCCCTGCTGGGGCTGGGGAGGGCTCCGGGGGCTTCGTCCTCCTGCGAGCCCCCAGCTGCGGCAGCGCCAGGAAGGTGAGGTTATGGGGGGGGGGGATTTTGGGGGAAGGATTTTGGGGAGGGGGGAGGATTTTTGGGGGGTCCCCACCCCAGGACGGTGCCCCATGGGGTTTGGGGTTGGGGTCTTGCTGGGATCTCTGCTGTGGGGGTGTGTGGTGTGTGTGGGGGTGTCCCTATGGACCCCCCTCAACCTCTTTTTTTTGGGGGGGGGTCTTGTGTTTTTTTGGGGTCCCCCCTCTATTTGTCACCCCCTGAATTGCTTTGAGGTTTTTAACCCCATTTCCCCCTCCCATTTTACCCACTTGTGGGTGCAGGTCCACCAACTGGGTGCCCCCCCCAAAATCACCCATCAGCTGGGTGCACCCCCCAAAAATCTCTGCCCCCCAAAAAAACGACCCCATTAGCACCCCTTATTTAATGGGTTACAGGGGGTGCACCCAGCAGGGACCACCCATGGGTGCCCCCGACCCCATCACCCCATGGGTGCCCAGGTGGGCTTGCACCCCCGTGGCTTTTAGGTGGGGGCACAGCAGTGATAAAAACTCCCCCAAAAACTCTTTTTTCGGAGTTTTTACACGGCTTTCCCATTAGGTCCATCCCCTGGGAGCTGGCTTTATGAACCCACAGTGATTTTGCCCCAAAACTGGAGCCTCCATCCCAGGAGGTGATTTCCTAAAGTTGTTCTTCGGTGGGGAGCCGCTGCCTTTCTGCATCCTTTTTTTTTAAAAAAATGGTTAAAAAAGGGGAAAAAAAAGCTAAGAGGTGGCTTTTCATCAGCAGGGACCGAGCTGACCCCAGGCTGCAACCCTAAACCGGGCTGCGCTTTCCCCGCTGGCAGGTGCCGCTTGCAGGGCTCATTTTTCCCGTTTTTTTACCCAAATTTCCTTTCTCCGAGCCCTCCGTTTAATTTTTCCATCTGTCGGATGATGGAACGGGAGAGGATGAGGCAGGAAAGCATCACGAAGCTTTACCGAAGTGGGAAAAACACGCGTTATACACCACTTCTTCCTAAAACCACCGACCTATTGGGGTTTCCTATTACTTCTCTCAATTTTTAGTTAAAAAAACCCTCACCACGTCCTTTTTCCAGCTGTTTTTTTTCTGTTCTGGCCGCGTGGGAGGCCGTGGACGTGGCCCCACGTGTTTCTCCTGGCTTTTAGGGGATCAGAGGCGCCGCGGCGGTGCCCGTCTTTTTACCGGGGTTGGCGTTGTGGGGCCGGTGGTTTCACACATCTGTTTCCTCCTGGCTCCCTGCCCCGGCTCCCGGGACACACAGGCAGCCTCTCCACGGCTGCACCTTCCCAAAAATTCAAGCTTTGGTTTGGGTTTGTGGTTATTAAACCCTTTAAAAAACCCGGTGCTCCATTTCCCCTGTTTTTTTCCCCCTTTACTGAGTCCCTTAGCCCACGGTCGGGGCACTTTAAGTTTAAAACCTTTAATCCTCGGCTCGTTTTTCTTTTTAAAAGGCCGCGTGATGTAACCATATTCTCAATAAAGGTTTTAGGGGTTTTAGTCTCCCACAGAAAAGCCAGCTTTTGGCCCGAGTGCTGGGTGAGATTAATTCCCTGATAAGGGCTTTTTGGGTATAAATAGACCAGAAGGGAGAAAAAGGGGGAAAAACCTGGGGAGTGACCCACCTGTAGGAGCCCACTTTTTCTGAAATGAGTTTTAGCTGGCAGGAAAATAAAATTATTGATGTTTTTTTCTAAAAAATGAGCATTTTAAAGTCCTTTTTAGGGCGTGCAGCGGTTCTGTGGGGTTTGTTGTCTCTGTCCCCCAGGCCGGTGTCACTTGGCCACTTGTCCTGGGCTGCCCTAATCCGTAACTCGCGGGTTGCAAAGGGGAAAAATAATGCTGGCTGACAGCTCTGAGTGCAGAAAAATAGCAGGGCTTTTACACCAGCGTGGCTCAGAGTTATTTTGGAAGGGAAATAGAACTTGCCCTATTCCCCCAGCGAGCTTTGTGGCTGCTGGGCTCCTCAGAAATGTCCCTTTTTAGGGACAAGCCCCTGTGTTAGGGGGGAATATTGCTCCTGAGAGTGGATGGAGGTTGGTACCCGTCCTATTTCTCTGCTGGAGCTGCTGTCAGTAAATGCTGGAGAAAATTCTGAGGCTGAGGGCTCAATAACTCACATGGGGTCACCCTGTCAGGGTGAGATTTTGGAGCCTTGCTTGGTTCTGGCCCTAAAATGCTTTTTGTTTCTTGTATTCGGACCCTGATCTCGTAATTCTGACCCTACAGCTCTTGGTGCGTGCAGGAGTAGAGCCTGGGGTGGCTTTTTGAGTAGAAGGCGATGAGATCAAGGTGGGTCACGGAGAGCCAGGCTCCTGGCACTTACAACCCTGAGCCTTATCCCCAAGGGGAATTCGGTGCAGGGAGGGAGCAGAACAGCGCTGGAGAGGTCAAGGGATTGAAATCCCCGCGGATCATCCCGGGGAAATCACCACGGAT